CCTCACTTTCGTGAAAGATTTCAATTTTTATTCCATCAATTCCTGGTGCCTTGTTCTTTGCCAATTCCTTCAATGCACCTTAGACTTCCTCCTTCAGTATCATTGGCTCTTGATCATATGCTACCTCTTGAAACCGTTGAACAGTAACCATTTCCTTTTGGTACAGTGACTCTGTGTATTCCTTCCATCTTCTCTTGATGCTTTCTACATATTTCATTAATTTGCCAAGAGAATCTTTCAATAACGAAAGTCAAGACTTGAATTTTTTCTTCAGTTCCTTTGGCTTGAAAAATGCTGAGCATATTCTTCCTTTTTAGTTCTCCGACTCCAGATCTTTGCACATTTTGATGTAATATTTGGCTTTATCTTCTCAAACTGATCTTTGAAATTTTCTGTTCAGCTCTTGGACCTCCTCATTTCTTCCATTTGCTTTAGCATCTCTACACAAAAGAGCAAGTTTCAGTGTCTCTTCTGACATCCATTTAGGTCTTTTCCTTCTTTCTTGTCTTCTTAACGACCTTTTGCGTTCTTCCTGTATGATGTTCTTGATGTCATAGCTTTCAGAATCACAGCAACTCACAAGCCACCACAGTACGACGAGTGGTGGTTATTCTCTTTTAGTCTCTTTTATTCACCATGTAGAATGGAGAAAAACTGCCTCATAGTGTTTTCTAGGTTGTACTCTTTATAGGTACAAATTGTCAGGTCTTTTCTTCCGTGGAACCATTGGTGAGTTCAAATTACCCACCTTTTGGTTAGCAGCCAAGTGCTTAATTATTACACAGCCAGAGCTTCTCATTGGCAACTGTTAGTTGATGTTAAGTGTCATCAGTTAGTTCCAACTTCAAACAACCCTGTATAGGATTTCTAAAGCTGCAAATCTTTAGGGGACTGAAACTTCATCTTTCTCTTGCTGAGCCACTGGTAGACTTGAACAGCAGCCTTTGTGGTTAGCAGCTCAGTGCTTCTTTTATAGAACCACCAGCATCTGACAGTTGCTATTTACTGAATGATATTATATCCCAAATTGCATACATTATACCTTTCCAGTTTCCTCTTTTGTATTTCCTGTCAGTTGAAGTCAAGCCCTATATCATAATCTAAAAAATGAGAATTTACCTTTAGTTCTTCATTGTCCAATTCCACAAATATACTCTCAGTCAAGTATGAGTTATCCATTTCACCTTTAAAGTAGCTCTTATGTCATTCCAGTTCTTAGTCATAATATTACCATCCTGTCTCTGACCTCTTCTTAATCTCAGGTAATGCCGTGTTAACAAGGGGAATACTCACTTCTTTAAAATCAATTCTCATCTTTGGTATGAATTAATTCTTCCTTATCCCTGGCACTGATTGATTGCTGTGTGTGTGTGTGTGTGTGTGTGTGTGTGTGTGTGTGTGTGTATTTGTTGTTACGTGTCGTGGAGTCAGTTCCAATTCATAGTGACCCTGTACAGGGTTTCTGAGGCTGTAAATCTTTACGGCAGAAAGCCTCATCTTTCTCCCGCAGAATAGCTGGTAGTTTTGAGCTGCTGACCTTGCAGTTCACAGCCCAATTTGTAATCACTATGCTACCAGAGCTATATATATACATATAAAGTCACCAATGAGTTGTCTTGTTTGAAACCCTGAGTAAGGATAGCTCCCTATCATCCAGATTAGACCTCTTAGTGTATGGAGGCTTTCAATACTAAAGCTTTCAATACTAAAGCTTCAGCTGGACCAACCTCAGTCATTAACTCTTCTAACTGATTTTGATATTAGTCTTCAAATGCTCACTCACTATTTAAATAAGTTGTCATCAAAGTTCAACTGAGAATTACAAGACCAGTGAATTCTGATCATATTCTTCATGTCTGGCACAATCATGCATCAATATGGTACTTCTTTGTTTTTCAGAATCAATTTTCCTCTTGAACTAAAGTATCTTCCAAGGGAATCCATGCTTACTATAAAATTGTTTGGGATTGACTGTGCAACCAACAATACAAATTTATTGGCCTGGACTTGTCTTCCATTGTTTCCAAAAGAGTAAGTACATCACTTTTGATGAATGAAACTTCTATCTAGGGGAAAAAAAAAACAAAAAAAAACTTCCTTGGAACCAAATGTTGCCCAGTATTTAGGCATTATGAGGATATCAATAAAGCATTTTATTCTAAAATTTATATGGCACTATAGCTTAACCACTGGACTGCTAACCAAAAGGTTGGTGATTCAAACCCACAAGCTGTTCCTCGGAAATCCTGCACAGGGCTGCTGTGAATCAGAACCAACTCAATGGCACTTAACAACATCAATGCAAGTCTTAACTGTTGAAAGCAGAACTGAAAATCAAAATGTGTAAATGGCTTTAGAAACCAGATTTATGCTCAATTTGTCAGCAAGGTCATTTACAATGCAATGGTCCCAGCATAACCAATCTCAACTGCCTTTCCTTAGTGGAATAGCCAATTTCTCTGCAATTAGTAATTCAGACTGATGTGAGTCAATGCTGTCATTTAGAAACAATGGAAGTCAAACAATCCTGGGAGAAACAAAATTGTGCAATGTAAATAGTTTACTGACCTACTGATAACTTCAAGAGGTTAGTTTTTAGAAAAGAAAGCTATGAATTCAACCATTCTCCCCATGACCCTTGCAAAATGCACTGTTGATTTAACCATAAGGCTTTGAGATTATTAATAGTTAGAATATTTTATAAATTCAACTATATTTTTCTCCTAGGGCAAAAATAGTTTAAATAAACAAGCTCAGTTATTTTTTTTACATTGCAAGACTTACTTTAGAATCAAATTGTAATTTTCAAGCCCGTCCAAAAAAAAAATTAGAACTAAAATTTAAATTTTAAGGATAGATAAAAATGTTTTAGCCCTTACTGTTTTAAAAAGATTTGGTAAAATAAAAATGTTTTTCAAAACTGTGCCTTAGTTTTAATTCCCACACTTTTATAATATATTTAAATTATCATCAAAGCAACTGTGACAAGTTTTTAAAATCTCCTTTGTTATATTAATTCTTATCTGATGTGTGTAGACTTTATTGTTCCCATACTTTCTCTTATTTCCATGTGTATGTTCTTTGAGGACAGTAAATGTATTTACCTTTGTAATATCTATCATCTAATATAGTGCCCCATTTAAATAAGCAATCAATAGAAGTTTGCTTGGGAAACTAAATTGGGAAAAAAATGATCCCTCTAGAAAATTTAGAATGCAATAAAAATTCTAGTCTATAAAAACAGTTTAGTCCTAAAAGAAATACCTACTGCTGTTAGCAGACATTTCAAAAACCTGATTTGTAGGCTAAGAACTTTCACTATATATGTTGTTGTTAAGTGCCATTGAGTCCATTTTGACTCTTAGCAATACTTATAGGGTTTACAAGGAGCAACTGGTAGGTTTGAACCACTAACCTTGCAGTTAGGAGTCCGGTGCTTACCCTACAGTGCGACACCTCTAGGATTTGTAAATTTAACATGTTTTTAGAGTACTATTTCTAGTTATTAATTGAAAAAAGTCAATTTATTCCTGCCCATCATTTAGCATACTACTTTGTACCTTAGAGATAAACAATAAACCTTAAGTATATAAGAAGTTACAAATATTTTTTTGCTTTCAAGATAATCTTCATAGCTTTCTTCTAGATGCGTAAAATAGTAAATGCATCACCGTGTTGGTTTGTCATATTCTACCACTGGTACAAACTTATCAGTGGATGATTATAGAATGTGTCCATCTGAGAGTGATGTCCTCTGAGCCTGATAGTAGCTGGTATTTCCCTAAGGGAAAGTCTCAAAATTGTGGATAATGAAACATCAGAAAGCACAACTTACTTCAAAGAGAAGTTGAATAACATTTGTAAACTTATGTCCAAAATATTGATTCTCATGTAAATCAGAAACTCTGTTTCTCTCCAGGTTAAATAGCTTAAAGAAATCCAGATCTTATTCCTTTTGCCAACTAGTTGAATGTGACTCATAGCTCTCCTAATTCCAACAGAATGAAACACTGCTTCATCCTGTACCTTTCTCACAATCATTAGTATGTCTGAGCCCATTGTTGCAGCCATCGTGTCAATCCATTGAGTCAAAGGTCTTCCACATTTTCACTGACTGTCTACTTTGCCAAGCATGATATCCTTTTCCAGAGACTGATCCCTCCTGATTACATGTTCAAAGTAGGTAAGATGAAGTCTCATCACCATTGCTTCCAAGGAGCATTCTGGCTGTACTTCTTCAAGATTTTCTGACAGTCCATGCTACTTTCAATATGCATCTCAAATATCATAATTCTAATGCACTGATTCTTTCACACTGTTCCTTACTCATTCTTTCACACGCATTTAAAGCTATTGAAAATACTGTGACTTGGGTTAGGCCAGTTGCATCTTAGTCCTCAAAATGAATCTTCATTCTTTAACTCTTTAAAGAAGTCTTTTGCAGTAGGTTTTCCCAATGTATTACATCGTCTGGTTTCTTGACTGCTGCATCCTTGAGCATTGACTGTGATCCAAGTAAAATGAAATCTTTGTCAACTTCATGATTTCATTCTCTGTTTATTATGATGCTTATCGGCCTAGTTGTGAGGATTTTTATTTTCTTAATACTGAATTGAAGTCTGTATTAAATGTTGTATTCTTTGATCTTCATCAGTAAGTACTTCAAGTATTCTTCACTTTCAACAAATAAAGTGTTGTGTCATCTACATATCACAAATTATCAATGTTCCTCCACTTCTGATGCTGAGTTCTCCTTCACATACTATAGCTTCTCAGATTGTTTTCTCAGCATACTGATTGAATAAATCTGCTGAAAGGATACAGCCCCGATACATGCCTTCCCTTCATGATTTTTAAACTATGAAGTTACACCTTGTGCCTGTTGGTCTATGTACGGGCACGAGGTAGAACTAAATGAGCCAAACTAAGTGTTCTGAAATTGCCAGTGTGTGCAACATTACCCATAATTTTTTACAGTGTGTTCATGGAGAAAAGTGTGGTGTCTTTGCATAGTCAATAAAAGTGTCAAATGCCTTTGCATGATCGATAAAACACAGGTAAATATCTTTCTGGTATTCTTTGCTTTTAGTCAAGATCCATCTGACATAATCAGTGATGTTCCCCTCATTCTACATCATCTTCTGAATCCAATCTGAATTTATGGCAGTTCCCTGCTAATGCACTGCCACACCCATTTTTGAAATAGCTTCAGCAAAATTTTACTTACTTGTAGCATTAATGGTATTGTTTGATAAAGTCTGCATTCTGATAGATCACTTTTCTTTGGAATGGGCACACATACAGTTATCTTCCAGTCAGTTGGTCAGCTATCTGTTTTCCAAATTTCTTGGCATCGACAAGTGAGTTGCATGCATTTGTTGAAAAATCTCAATTGGTGTTCCATCAATTCCTTTAGCCTTGTTTTTCACCAAAGCTTTCAGTGCAGTGTGGACTTCTTCAGTATCATCAGTCCTTGATCATACGCTACCTCCTTAAGTGGTTGAATATCAACCAAGTTTTGGTAGAATGAGTATCCCTGCCATCTTCTTTTTATGTTTCCTACATAATTTCCTACATAATACCAAAAGAACCAACAGATCTGTTTTGGAAGAAGTGCAACCATAGTGCTCCTTGGAGGCCAAGATGGCTAAGCTTCGTCTCTCATACTTTGGACACATTGTCCGGAGAGAACAGTTGCTGGAGAAGGATGTCATGCTGGGTAAGGTGGAGGGGCAGTGAAAAAGAGGAAGACTCCCAACGAGATGGATCAGCCAGGTGACATCATTGATGGCGTCAAGTGTGGCGGCGGTAATGAGGTTGGCCCAGGATTGGACATTGTTTCGTTCTGCTGTGCATGGGGTCGCTATGAGTTGGTTCCGACTCGATGGCACCTGACAACAACAACAACATAATTTCATATTTTGCCCTAAGAATTCTTCAGTATTGTGTCTCAAAGCTTGAAGTATTTCTTCAGTTCTTCCAGGTTGAGAAGTTCTGAGCGTATTTTTCCCTTTTTGTTTTCCAACTCCAAGTCTTTCTATATTTCATTATATTTTTACTTTGTCTTCTCAAGCAGTCCTTCAAAATCTTCTGCTCAACTTTTTTGTTTAATAATTTCTTCATTAGTTCTAGTTACTTTATGTTCAATAGCAAGTTTCAGAGGCTTTCTGACATCCAATTTGATCTTTTTATTCTTTCTTGTCTTTTTAGTGGCTTTTTGTTTGTATCACAATCAATGCTTTCAACAAACCAAGTTTGTGTTGTGTCATCTACATATCACAAATTATCAAGAAGTGTTCCTCCACTTCTGATGCTGAGTTCTCCTTCACATAGTACAACTTCTCAGACTGTTTTCTCAGCATACTCTGATTGAATAAATCTGATGAAAGGATATAGCCCTGATACATGC